GCCGTGCTGCCCCGGCGGGCGGGCGGGGGCGAGTTGCTGTCCCTGTCCGTGGTGGGGCCTGGCGAGTGGGTCGCAGCCGGGCTGAGCGGCCCTTCCTGCGCGGGGAGGAGGCGGCCGGTGTCACACGCTGTTCCGAGGCTGGTGCCGGTTTCACTGGTGACTTTACAAGCGCGCCTGCGCTGGCCCGGGGGGCTCTCGGGGCCGCGGCATTTGACAAGGTGGCCAGTTGAGCTGGGAGGCGGCGGAAGCTTTTTCTCAATCCCGTTGGGTTTGGTAGCTCTAAGGAGTCTGGCGAGGGATGGGTCCGAGCTGGGCAGCGCCCTGGGAAAGGGACCGGCAGGAAACGGTTGCAGAAAGCCATGGCAGGGAGCCACCCCGGCTGGTGTAATGCTGAGCTCTCCAATCGCTCGCACTTAGACTGGTGGTTGAGAAATGATACACTTGTACTCAGCAAACAGACTAGGTTTCCCCCGTATCTCTGGTATCATGTGATCCAGGCTACCTCTGCTTGTCTCGATGTAAGAAACCTTAAAAGCTTATGGCATGTCAATCTGTGACCCTCTGCATTGGCCACTTGAGTCCGATCCTGTTCCTATTGTCTACATAGTTTTTAATGAGCCATTCGTTAAAATACTGGAGGTTGTACAAAATCAATAAAATGTGACAAACATCCCCTTTTGAATTTTTTAAATAAACTAAGCTGAGATCAGTGTGATACTGGCATGAGTAAGAGGTCTGAGAACAAGGCAACGTACAACCGGGCTGTTTTGGAAGGTGACTACTGAGAAAGTAATGGGAAAGGATATTATCAGACTTTAGTAGCATCCACAAATAGTAAGCTGATGAGCATATTAAAATAAAGTAGTCAGTCATTGACCTTCTTCATGTGAAGATTGCTGTCCACGTTTCCAGTTGTGATTGGTGAGTTTTCTTGTTATGGGAATGCATATCAGAAATCTCTGTGTTTCTGCTTGCATCCCACATGTTGTCATACAGCTAAAAGGCGGCAGTCAATTTTGGTCTCTCTCACTACCTAAACATTAGATGCTACCTGATTCATTCATACCAGTGCTATAGAAATGAAAGGCTTATTATCGGTCCCTTAAACTCTAGTCACTAGGTTTTAATCCACCCACCCCTTCACACGTGAAGAGGTAAGAAGAATTATAGAAGGAGAGTAAATATACTACAGTAGTTGAAAGTCTGTATCGTAGTTTTGGCACTATGGCCAGTAAATTTGTCTGTGCAGTCTCCCTCATACAACCTAGAAGTTGTTACTTTGCAGCTAATTTGCAAGCAAGGGTGGTGATTGGCTTCTCCTGTAGCTGTACACCATTATAGGTGTAATTTGTAAAGGCAAAATGGTAGAGAACTTAAATATTGCAGTGGGGCTGACAGCCTCTGTGGGCCTTGGGGCCATGTGCGGAAGGTGGAGCTGAGGGGTCAATCAGTCTTTAGTGTTGCCCAAATTGCTAAACTTCCTCTCCTCAGCCTTAGGAGCTTGCAGTGCTCACACAGCATTTCAAAGAGGCCCAAGCTCTGAGGTAGCCAGGAGCTCCAGGCCTCCCCTTGAGTCTGTAGCAGTTACTCCCTTTGTGCTCCCCCATCTCCCCGTCACCATCCGAACAGGCCTGCTGATAGACCATGAATCCCAGTGATGACTGAAACTGATGAGCTTTTTGTAACTCTCTTTCCATTCCTGCACACTAATTCAGCAAACATTGTAGACTTCAGAGTGACATCGACAAGTGACACTCTTAGAATCTTACTACATAACCATTTCTATAACTTTTTTGATATCTTTCAATAGTACTAACATATGATGGTTAAATGATCAACATAGCTTTAGTACAATGGCACCCTCGCTATCTTTTAACTTTGTTACACCAGCTTTCAGAATTTTTGCAAAAGTCTACCTAAACAAATGTTTTCTTGTGATGACCAACAAACTCAAAAAAATTACTAGCACAAGTTGGGTCCTTCTACAAAAAGTTCATGAATGATTCCCAGACCTTCATATTTTGTAACGAACTAAATCCGGTTTAGTGTTAGGCTAATACTGCATTTATTTTTGCTCTGGTATATGCTCTTGCAATTTGGAAATAGTAAAAGTAAACCCAGGATACAAAAGCCACCCTTCCTTAGATTTATAACTGTAAGATCTAATGAAGATCTCACAATCCAATATATTCAGGGCTGGGACAGTCATCTTGTTCTATTTCTATAGTGGCCAGAACAATGGGGCTAGGACAGGGGTGGGCAAAAAGGCCACTGCAGGCTGAATCCAGCCCACCAAGTAAGTTGGTCCAGCCTGCAGAGGCCCTCCTGCTTCCAGGCCGATTGAGGGTGGAGGGGAAGCATGCAAAGTCTCCTCCTACCCTGCCCCTGTCTTGCAAGGAGTGCATGATGCTTAGAAGTGCCACGTGCTCCTGGCAAGGTGGGAGCAGACTTTGTATGCTCCCCCGCCTCCAAGCCCTCATCGGCCTGGGGGCAGGGAGAGTGTGCAAAGTCTCCTCCTGCCCATGCGAGAAGCACAGTGCTTCTAAGCACCCTTGTAGGCTGGGGGCAGGGTGGGAGGAGACTTCACATGATCCCCCAGATCGATCAGGGCTTGAGGATGGGGGGAGGGGGAAAGGGTTTGAAGTCTCCTCCTGCCCTGCAAGGGGCTTGCTCTCTGCCCTTGCCAGCAAGAGTGCCTGTGCTCAGAGTCAACTACCAGCTGAGCAGCAGCAAGAGACTTCAGTGCTTCCAGGCCCTTATTGACCTGGGGGGAGTATGCAAAGTCTCCTCCTGCTGCCAGGGGCACAGGTACCTAGAGGGAACCACCAGCTGTTTGGAACAGCTGGTGGTTCTTTGTGGTGGGGGGCAGAGGGACAAAGACTTTGTGTACTCCCTCACTGCCAGACCAATTAAGGTGTCCTGGCCTCACCCCTTCCAGGGCAGCCTTTAAAAATTTCTGAGTGGCCCCAGGTAAAAAATTAATGCCCACCCTGGGCTAGGGCTTCTAGGAGCCCCTGCAATACAGAAATTAATACTGCACTATATCCCCAAACCATCATTTCTTGGTGTTAATTCTTACCTAATCTCCAAGTAATAATCTGTTGGAGGCCCTCTTTCAATTTAAACAATAGATACTCACAAATGACCAATCTGGCAATTTACCAGATCAGCATCTAGGTTGGTATTTACAATCTATCAGTGACCAAAAAAATTAGGTAGAGACGGTTGTTGCTGTACAATAATATTGTATACCTCACTTCATAACAAGTGAACACATTGGTGGCAATGGTAGCTATTTATACTAGTGGTGTAAAAAGTTAACCACACCTTTAACAGGTGAGGTTTACCACTTCCAGTTAATGGATAGGGGCTGGAGCAGCTCTCTACCTGTATGTGATGCAGGACTGATCCAACCATGCAGGGCCCACAGGAGCAGCCCCTGTCTGGTAGGCCTGGCCACTGCTTCCCTCCACCACAGGTTATATGCTGCCTTCTTCAGGGATGTCAAAGCCTCCTCCTTGGTAATGGGCCTGCAGCAGTCCTTGGTGGCCCTGCTCCTGGGGAAGTGGCTTTGCTGCAGGCTCTGCACTATCAAGCTTATACTGCAAAGCCTGTAGTGTGTATAACTGCTAGGATTTTTACTAGTTACATAGTTATATTTTTAACCCCATTTTTGCATCCCTAGTTAATCGTAAACTTCTGATGAGAGCAAGAAAAATTTACCTAGGTGAAAAACTTTCTAAATGTTTCTATTCTGTTATGCCACAGCAAGTTTATTCCTTATATATTGTTCTGTTCAGTGTGTCAGATGATTCAATGTGTATGTAGAAACCCTCATGTTCAGTCTAAATTTAGCCTTATTTTAGTTACTCCTAAGTATACTCCTGAACACAATATTCTAGGCCTGATTAACCAGAACTGTAGAGATGTGCTATTACCTCATGAAACTTCATGCTTCTCTACGTGCAGTCCAAAATTGCTCCTGCCTTTTAGTGCCATAACTGACTACAAATTCATATTAAATGTACTGTTTGCTATTTTCTCTGTCTGTAGTGAGTTTCCTGATTCCATAATCTCTCCGAACCTGCTCCTCTCCTTCCACCCCTTACGGTGTAGAAGATTTTTCCAAACTGAACTCTAATTGGACTTTCGGGGGGAGGAGGGGGGGGAAGAGGTTTCCTCCATGGATTATCTCTAATCTCTGCAATAGTATTTTCTTTTCCTACATTCACAACAGAATAGAGTTATAGGAGAGAGAGTGAGTCAGGGATTCCCATCTGTATATTTGATTTATAGCCCCTTACCTTGCAATACAGTCTCAGTTTTCAGGGCACATTGAAGAACTTCAGAAAATTAAGGGGATTGTCATTAACAAGTGTTGAGGGTATGACCCTGTTGTGGGCAGCAGCAAATCTGGCTGGAGGTTCAGATTAGGATGAATTATTACTAGCTTGCTACTTTAAGTGTGTCCAATTTAAGACCTTTAAAATCTTTCTTGTCTCAAAAGCAGCTTGGTAGCTTATTAGTTTTGTGCTTTGTGAGGTGTTAATTGAGAAATTAAATGGATTTCCTGACATAAAAACAGTTTTCATTGTACTCTGAACACTTATTTGAGGGAGATTGTTTTGTGGTAATGTAATGAGTGTTGCTGGGTGACTTGCACTTGAGCTTTGTGGGTTATTTTTAGTTCTGAGCATAGAAGTTTGTTTTTCATATGCCAGAAGAATATTCTATATAGAAGGTAAGTTTTAAAAGGGGAGAATTAATCAGTGGATGAAATCAGTAATGCTATTTGTAGACTGGAAAGAATATAACTTATGCAGTCGTCTTTCTTTACCCTACAGAGGTTTACTAAAGTGCTTGCTTTCTCTCCTGGATACAAAACAAGGTAAAATAATATTACTTAGTGGACAAAAGAGTTCTGACCTCTTTAGATTTAACTGGGTGGGTTGTTAACTAAATATAGCTAAGTAACTGCATTAAGCAAGCAGAAGTTCACACTTAAATAACTAGAATTTTTCTTTTTAATTGCTTTTCCTTTTGGATAGACTGACTTCTCCAATGTAACCTTATAAGCAATTTATTTGAGAAGTCACTGAGACTATTTTCTGAGACTCATTGATCTGCTCTCTTCACAAGTGCAATTAACTTTTAGAAGTAGCTTGTTTTAAAGATCAGCATTTGATAATGTAAATTAGCTGAACAGGATGTTGCAAGTAAACACAAGCTTGTGTTTAAGATTCCTTTGAAATTTAATTGCAGGCATTCCAGCTGATGCTCATTCATGGAGCAAAGAAATGTATGGCATATAACAAAACCTTGTCTAAGTATGCTGAGGAATTCTGTGGAACATCTTTAGTTGTAGGTCACTTTTAAACTAGCTTCAGATTTGTGAGAAATTATTAAATCCAAATCCTTGTTGATATGGATAGAAATATAGGTCAATGAGAGACTGTCAACTTTACAATATTTTTTAATTCACTTAAAAATAATTTCAAGGTACACCTACTCTTGAATTTATCTGACTTTTCTGGCTTTACAGCTAGATATATAAAATTTTAAGTTGCCAAAATGTTTTTCCACCTTACTGCTATGTGGGCATAAACAGAAAAATTGGCTATACAGAGTGCTAGCTATCAATCAATGCCTGAAGTAAATCTGAAAAAAGACGTTGCTCCTGTTATAATAAAGTTAGGTATTACAAATATTTCTTTAAATATTTAATCTTCTTTACCTACAATTCTTATATTTTAACTAACGGTGTAAGGCCCTGATTCTGCAGTTAGAAATGTATGGGCGGGTCTGAAATCAATGGATAGCCTAAGGGTGCAAAGGTCTATCCATGCAGATCCCATTGCAGAAATGATGCCTTAGTATTTACATTTCAAACTAGTGGATCTGTTCTAGCGTTATCAATTAAACCGGCTTTATAGAATACTAAATGTTAGTTGTAATGTTTGAGGTTACTCTTTATTTGCTTGCACATTTGAAAAATGCTTTGTGTAGTCTGTTTCACACTTGCAATATAGATGGTTGACTTTTTTAAAGTGTATTATAAAACCACATAGACTTGTATAGTAACTGAAATGATTTCACTTTCAGTATGTACTAGATTATGTCCCTTTAATGGAGACATTTCATAGTTTATAATACACCTATTGACATGCCTTATTTGTTCAGGTTTCTTGGTTTGCTAACAAAACTGCAGTGTATGGTCTTGTAACTAAACCCAGACTCCTCACTCACCCCCAACATATACCAGACCCTCTGACTGATGATCCTGAAAGAACATTTAACACACACCCAACTTTCCTGGAATGCTGTGTATTTGTTCTTAACCACCTAATCCAAACAAATATAAAAGCCATTCTTTCTGGTCTCAGACTGAGTATTTTTATGTTCTTCTACTAATATAACACAGTAAATTAACTTCAAAGTAAAGGAGAATCCTCTTTTCTAGATATCTGGGTTTACTTGTGGCCACGTTCTGGCAAAGTAACCAAAATTATATAATTTGCCAAGTTAGCCATCCCCCCGCCTGCCAAATATAAATGGATGTGTTTAACCCCTCAATACTTGAATAATGTGCTGCAATAGCCGGACATGGATATCTGAGGCTTCTTTTCAAGGACCAGCTTGATGCAGACTCCTGTCAAGCCACAAGAGTTTTCCTCTGCACCCCAAAGTATACATCACAGTTAAGCGTCTAATGAAAGACCATTATAATAAAAGGTGGATGGTAAATTTGTAGATATATGTATATTTGCACGTTATCCAGAATTCAAATTCTTTTAAAAAGAATAGTGACCTAATTTAATACACATCTCTAATTGTTAGATACCTGTTTAAATTTAACTTCTTACTCTTTAATCAGTTTTTTTCCTTCCCTAGAATCCAACCACCATCATGTCTAGCAAAAGGGCAAAGACAAAGACCACTAAGAAGCGCCCTCAGCGCGCAACCTCCAATGTATTTGCAATGTTTGATCAGTCACAAATTCAAGAATTCAAAGAGGCCTTCAACATGATTGATCAGAACAGAGATGGTTTCATTGACAAAGAAGACTTGCATGATATGCTCGCTTCCCTTGGTAATATTTATTTCTCAGCTATTATCTGACAACAGTTGAGGCTATTAACTAGCCCTTATATAATGGCTGTGTGCCTGTTACAATAATCGCAAAAGCATGATTGTAACTTTCATAAATCAGCTCAAATGTATATAAAAGATGTCAGTTTACACCGGTATTAACAAATGTCAGTGAGTCAATGAATAAACACATTATAATGACTATCAAATATGAATACTTCTATTGTAGGAAAGAATCCCACTGATGAATACCTAGATGCCATGATGAATGAAGCTCCAGGCCCAATAAACTTCACTATGTTCCTAACAATGTTTGGAGAAAAACTAAATGGCACAGATCCAGAAGATGTAATCAGAAATGCTTTTGCTTGTTTTGATGAAGAAGCAACTGGTATGTAGCTGAAATATCAATGCTGAGTTGTCTGGTTTTGAATCTTAATCACTTTTTTTTATTCAGCCATCACTGTAAATGTATAATGAACTTGGGCAAATAATGTATTATGGGCTTCTAAGGATTTGTCTATATCATAGAATAGAATAATAGGACTGGAAGGGACCTCAAGAGGTCATCGAGTCCAGCCCCCCGCCCTCAAGGCAGGACCAAGCTCAGTCTACACCATCCCTGACAGATGTCTATCCAACCTGTTCTTAAATATCTCTAGAGAGGGAGATTCCACCACCTCCCTTGGCAATTTATTCCAATATTTGACCACCCTGACAGTTAGGAATTGGTGAATTGCATATCTGCAGGGATGTAAATCCTAATGCACTCCCCTTTATTGTGCATTAGCTCTCCCATATGGACTCTGCTGGCAGTAAGGGTCCATTTGTGTACATTTAGTGTGGTACTGTTGGAAACTTCTAGTGCACACCAATAGGTCTGTAGAGCCATTCAAAAACCAATACATGGGCACTGAGATCTGTCTTAAATTTCTTTTTTAAAACTTAGAACAGTAGTTTCTAGTTGGTTAATTGGACACCAGTTGCCCACAGAGACTTGCTGGTGATTCATAGAACTGACTTCTGACACTTGCAGACTCCTCACTTCCTGCTATTAAACCATATTGAAAAGAAAACTAAAATATGTGTAAAACCTAATTTTTTGACATAAGAAAAAGCTATCGCCATAGCAATGTTTGATCACAATAGGAGGGGGAGAGGTGTTTCACATGTGAGGGGTGGTTCCCCATAGCACTAGACTATGACACTGTAGTCCAGTAAGTCACCAATTGGTCGACTGTGGTGCACCTAGGAGTCAATTGCTGCAGCCAGCTGGCCAAATGGCTGCCTCTTAGATCCAGCCCAGCTGGAGTATGGCGCAACATTGGAACACCATGGTGAGCTGTACTGGAGCAAAGAGGGGCAGCTGCCAGGCCAGCTGCCTGCCGGTTCAACCTGCCAAGGTTGAGCCATGCTCCAGCTGGGCTGGATCAAAAAGGGGCAACTGTGCTTCTTAACTTGCCAGCTTTGGAGGGTGGAGGAGAGTGCACATGCATGTATACGTGTGTCTCCCCAGCATGTCTCCTGCTGTGGGAGGGGGCAGGACTGGGTGTCTGGCACACATGGTGCATTGAGGACCAAGCTACGCCATACTGTTCCCCACGGGCTGTGTGTGGGGTCAGGGAGCTCCTTCTCTAGCGCCTCACTGAACCCAGCCAGGCTGGAGCCAGCCTTGGGCTCTGCCTGCCCCTTTCTCAGCCTCAGCCCTGGAGCCACTGCCTGCAGGCAAAGGGCTGGCCCGGACAGGGAAGAAACTTTGCCCTCCTCACTCCAGCACTACTCCCAGGAGGCTGCAAGTCCCAGAACTGCTGTCTTGCCGGTGAGTGTGCTGGGGGCACAGGGATGAACAGGCAGGGATTGCATTGAGGGGCATTGGGCAATGCAGGAGATCAGGCTAGGTGGGGGATATGGGGCTGAGGGGAGTGAGGCTGGAGCAGAGTGTGTGTGTGCACATGCTGCATTTCCTTTACTCCCCACTTTGCCTCTCTCCCCAACTAGCTATTGGGCTGCATTCTTACCCTTTCACCTTTTCTGTGTTACTCCCCCCCACCTGCCACCAAACTCCGTTCCAGACCCTACCCTTGTCACCCTTTCCTGCACCCCACCTCCCACCCAGATCCTGCATCCCTATCCCATTCGATGGCAGTCCTGTCCCACACATTGAGCCCTTCATTTTTCCCCACTCCAAAGCCTAAGGGGGCCCACAAAATCCATTAACTCTGGAATCCCAGAAAAGTAAATCTGGCCTATGGGAAGCCCTGAACCTCAGTTCTCCCTCACTGCATGTGGGCTGGAGTGCCAGAAAAGTAAGGTGTCTCCAGTTGGTAGCCACATCAGTGAGGGAGGAGTTTTTTGCTTCACTTGTGTGGTGCCCAACTGATTTATTTTTCTGTGGGTCAGTGGAAAAGTTTAGAGAGGACATGGCCTCAAGGGGTAGGGTCTTGGAAGGGATGGGGTAGATCGGGGTGGGCAACTTTTTGCCAGGTGCCGCTTCAAGGGGCTGGGCCTCAAATGAAAGAGGTGGGGCCAGGATGCTTCTGGGCTTCACCACCCACAGACCATGATTGGTCTGGAGGAACCCCTTTGGACCCCTTCCCCACTAAGCACCCATGCCCTTGGCAATGGGAGGAGACTTCCTGTGCTCCTCTACCCCCAGGCCAATCAGGTCCTAGGGGCAGAAGAGCACTTGTAGCCTCTTCCCACCCTGCCAGGAGCATGCAGGGGCAGGGCAAAGGAAACTGCGCATGTCCCAAGGCCCTGATTAGACTGCTGTAGTCCATGCTGTGTCAATGACTTAGAATTTGATATTGAATTGGTACTGATATCTTTAAAGTTTTAAAAATATTTGTATTTCCTGCACATCTTTGGCCTTGACATTTAGACTCAAGTCAAGTCTGTCACTAACTCGTGAGCTGAAGTGTATTCTCAGGAGATTTAAGTATAAAGTGTTTAAGACAAGTGAATACGATCCATTAAAACAAACCTCCATCTAGAATTTTTTTAAGATTCTCCTAAATCTAAATATAGACTTATGTCTGGCTACATGGTCTGTTTTGCTGCTATCAGACCAAGCTAAAGTGTAAAAGCCAACATGATCCAGTTGTGTTCCAGCTTGACTTTGAGCCATGGTACATTTCTATAATCTTAGCTTGTACAATTAAACATGTAATCTCTGGCAATTAAAATAATCTAACCTTGTTAAATGTAGCTACAAAATTTAACTTTGGCTTTCTGTGGTCTTACATTGACAGCTTTGTGTCTTTTCCTTCTCCCTGGAGTTAATGCTAAAAGGCTGTATTTCTTAATCAGTACATGTGTGGAAGATCCAGTAAGCAAACTCTTTGGTTTATCCTGACTTGCTGTACACATTATATTTCAGGGGTCATTCAAGAAGATTACTTGAGAGAGCTGCTGACAACAATGGGAGACAGGTTTACAGATGAAGAAGTAGATGAGCTATACAGAGAGGCACCAATTGACAAAAAAGGAAATTTCAACTACATTGAATTCACACGCATCCTTAAACATGGAGCGAAAGACAAGGATGATTGAAAAAAAATTCAGGCACCTGCAGAAAGCTCTAGTTTTCACTTGCCTTTATTTTTGAGGGTTTTTTCCTGGTAGAATCTGTTGCATGAATCTAGCTTTTACAGCTTTTGCCTTTCTCAATGTATTTATCTATTCCAGGCCATTCTGGCACATTTTTGCACCTGTGTAATCAGACTGGATGTGAGGGATGATATTGTAATGAAAAGCATCTGGGAACAAAGACCAATGAATTTGAAAACCCAGGAAAAAAGTCTCAATGTTTCTGGATTAGCTGGATTTTTACATTTTTGTAATAAAAATGTCATTTTGAAAGAGATTGCTATATAAATAAAATACCTCAAACTGCTTTGTGAAGTGACAATTTCTTGTTATTAAAAGTCTTCATTTTTTTTAAAAGTGTAGGTACCCACTCTTGATATCTGGTTAAGACTCAGGCTACGTCTACACTGCAGAGGTTTTGTGCAAAAACAGTTTGTTTTGCGCAAAAACTTGCAGAGCATCCACACTCCAAATGTGTAAAGTAATGCACATCAGGGAAAAATAACCCCAACTATATGTACAGTATGATGGGGGCAAATTTGGCTATGACAAATCAGGAATCTTGGAGTTATCGTGGACAGTTCTCTGAAAACTTCCACACAGAGTGCAGCGGCGGTCAAAAAGGAAAATAGGATGCTAGGAATTATTAGGAAAGGGATAGAAAATAAGACCCAGAATATCTTACTGCCCCTGTATAAAACTATGGTACACCCACATCTTGAATACTGTGTACAGATGTGGTCTCCTCACCTCAAAAAAGATATTTTGGCCTTGGAAAGGGTTCAGAAAAGGGCAACTAAAATGATTAGAGGTTTGGAACGGGTCCCATATGAGGAGAGGCTAAAGAGACTGGGACTTTTCAGTTTAGAAAAGAGGAGACTGAGGGGGGATATGATAGAGGTCTATAAAATCATGAGTGGTGTGGAGAGGGCTGATAAAGAAAAGTTATTTATTAGTTCCCTAAATAGAAGAACTAGAGGACACCAAATGAAATTAATGGGTAGCAGGTTTAAAACTAATAAAAGAAAGTTCTTCTTCACACAGCATGTAGTCAACCTGTGGAACTCCTTGCCAGAGGAGACTGTGAAGGTTAGGACTATAATAGAATTTAAAGAGAAGATAAACTAGATAATTTCATGGAGGTAAGGTCCATAAAAGGCTATTAGCCAGGGGATAAAATGGTGTCCTTGGCCTCTGTCTGTCAGAAGCTGGAGAGGGATGGCAGGAGACAAATCGCTTGATCATTGTCTTCGGTCCACCCTCTCTGGGGCACCTGGTGCTGGCCACTGTCGGTAGACAGGATACTGGGCTAGATGGACCTTTGGTCTGACCCAGTACAGCTGTTCTTATGTTCTTGTGCAAGAAAAAGTACAATAAATCATAAGAACACAGGGCTTTTTGCACAAGAGGAATAAGCCTTTTTACGCAAGAGCTCTTGCACAAAAAGACATGTGGACGGGCAACAGGTTTCTTGTGCAAGGGAGCATCCACACTGCCATGGATGCTCTTGCGCAAAAGCACATAGCAGTGTGGACACGCTTTTATGCACAAACTTTTTGCACAAGAACTCTTGTGCAAAAAGTTCTTGTGCAAGACACCTACAGTGTAGATGTAGCCACAATGTTAGTGAATTTACAGTTCATAAAAGGTTTGTTTCCTCAAGTATCTTTATACATACTCAAGGTGATACTCAATTTTATAATATTATGAAAAGGACTGGTACCTAAATTAACGTTTTGCGCTAATAGCTTTAGTCTTTGAAGGGAAGTTTGATAAGCAGAAATAGACTGGGTGGGGAAGACTTGAAATTGCACAGCTACCAATTCTTTCTTTCCTTAATTGTGCTGCTGATGTGCTTTTGTGATTTGTGTTCATGCTGATTAGCTCTTTCAAGTGCGAAAGCATTTTGAATATTGCAACTTGGGGAACAGGAATTGGAAAAAATAAGATCAGTGTGATGCTGATCATTCAAGTAGGAGGGGGGCACATTTCCACGGTGCCAGCTTCCTCCTCCTCCCACTTCTTAGCCAATAATTTCATCTAGATGAGATGCCTGCAGTACCACACTACCAAATGACTGCATTGGGGAAAAAAGTTGTTGTACAGGCTGTTGATTTTATGTTTATGAAGCTACATCTAGACTGCAGGCTTCTTTCAAAGTTTTTTCCGGAAGATATCCCGCATTTAAGTTGTGATTACTATGGACGGAATAGCCACTAGTGCATCTGTGCTTTTTTCCTGGCTGCCTCTTCTTTTTGGGGGGAAAAAAACCCTCCTTCCTCATCCACACCCCTTTTTCCGAAAGAGCTCTTTCAGAAAAAGGCTTCTTCCTCCTAGAAAAGTTTACCACTGTCAAACTCCTCTGTTCTTTCAACTTTCTGTCAAAAGAATGCAATTGCAGCATTCTGGAAAAATGGCTGTTTTTTCTGAAAACTCTGCAGTGTGGACACACCCAAAGAAGCACATGGGATTTTTTCAGGGGAAAAAGCAATACACCACGTTTATTGAAAATGTAGTAGAAAAGCAGTGAGCATATGCTTCATAAAGACAAGCCCACATCCACACAGAGGTCGTGCAGATGGTCCATAGCTACCATTCTGTTGTGACTCAAGTCATTCTTACTGGCCAGGCCAGTTGTGGTTCCTTTGAGACTGAGGCTTGGCTTCCAGGTCTGAATCCAGAGTGTAATGGCCACAGTGTCCATAGACTGAAATGGAAACTTACATTTGAGTCTATTGATATTGTAGTGTCATGCTGCAATCATTCATTCTTAAGGTGTTTAATCTGTTTTCCAGAGTTATCCTTTGATGATGGTCAGGCTTCCCATCATTGTCTGTCTCTCTCTCTTTCCAGGGGGCCTCTATCCTGTCTCTGGGATTCTGTCAATGGTGCTAATTTAATTCAGCCTCAAGACACAATGGATGTCTTCTAGTTATCTTCAAAGTTTTTATTTCTTCTTAATCATATGGGCACATCCTTCACTCACACCAAACAATTTTTGCAGTGTAAGACAAGATTAATAGCTACTAAAGGTCATCTGAAGAAAGCTGGGGCTGTGCCCATGAAACCATCTACATGCTTTGTTCGTCTATAAAGTGCTACCAGACCATTTGGGTGTTTTTTTTTCTGTACAGACTAACTCAGCTACCCCCTGAAACTTTATTCAGCTATACATTCTTGGTGTGCTTATGCTAATGATCATTCATGTTTGATAAATTCAATGAAATTACTTGTGCTGCTCTCATTCTAAACAGTAAGATGAAAAAGTTAATCATCTATTACATTTCTTCCATGTGCACAGCCCCAACTTTCTCACAGGTAATCTTTCTTTTGTAATACATTCCAGCTGCTGGCTGACTGTCCTCCCACTTAATTAAGATGGTCCTAGGACTGTATGTGAAACTCTATTGTCCTCCCCTTGTATGAGGGTTAGGGGAATAGGGATGAAGGGTTTGTCTCCTTGCTGTTAGGAACCCCAACATGATTCCTCAATTTCTATAAATATCTTCATTCTCCTAATCCACTCAGAGTTCTGATTTGTCTGGACACCAGATGCCCCCTTAATGATTACCTGCACTCATCACCTGCCAAATTGAAATAAAAGATTTTTACAACCTAAGCTATCCACTAGCTCCTTTGGCAGCTGAGAACACTCACCTGCTTAGGTCAACCTGGCACTGAGTGGGAAATTCCTTCTTACTCCCCAAAAACACACACATGATGCTCATAGCAAATCCCAGAAATCAGCTTACATTCTTTACTTCCAAAAGGGGGAAGTTTTTATTTTGGAAGTGCAGACTAGTTGGTGTCTTATCTTTCTCACTCCTCTCACTAGAGGCATGAGAGCCAACATGCATCTGTTCCTTTTTGCTTACTGCTTTAAAGCATCAATGAATTTCTTTCAACTACTGTCCTCCTGGCCTGTCTAGGGTAGGGGAACTCAAGGAGTGTTGAAACATATTGCCCTGTTACTATTTGCAGGAACCATGCACAGGAATATTTACTAATCTTGGTATTCCATTTCCTCTAAAGCCTTATTCTTGGTAAAGGTTTTAAGTGAGGAAGGAGGAATTCTTTAAGGTGAGTATGGCACCATGAAATGTGTCCTCAGCTGCTATTTCATGTAATGTAGTTTCCTTTCTCTAATACTGCTGGGTGTTTCTATCAAGGTAATCCCTGAGGATCTGTTTTTTCTTTGTAAAAATACATAGTTTTGCCTCAAACTTTGCTTGGGTGGTCTCTTCCCTTTCTATGCTTTAATTAAAAGCAGTTATTTCTACACTTCCTAGTGTATTTTTATCCAAGTTGTATCTGGCAGCTTCCCCTTATTCACTACTTTTCTTGATCATTTTGGGTTTGGTTAGGTTTTTCCTACCTAGATGGTCTTTGTTCTTTTACAACAATGTTGCAGTTAGACTACCTAAGCAGCTCTTCCTCCCAAGTGACTGTTTTCCAATTGTCTCACTGCTCCTCAGCCTGGTTGCTATGGCACACCCTGTTAGAATGTCAGCAAAAACTTAGTTTTTCAAAAATGTGCTGCTACTATTTGCCAGATATGCAATAAATTCTTGGTACAACATCCGGGCAGGGACACTGCAGTTAGAGGAAAACAATCACCTGGACCTTTAAGAAACAGGAGCAGAAAACACTTGTTTAAAAATTAGTTTTAATTTTACAAAACAAGGAGCAATAAACCCTTAACCTTGACTATGGCATTATCCTGTCACACGTACACAACATACATATAATATATACATGAACTATCAAGTAATTAGAATTTAAATATTTTGGTGGTTGTCTTCATTTTCAATTACAACACAATAAAGTGTACAATGTCCATTTTATACTTTTGGTTACCAAATGTTTTTACTAAAATCTGCATTGTAATACTTTTAGGTGAATTGAAATAAATCTCTTTATCATGAAAGTTGAACTTACAAATGTAGAATTATATACAACTCCTGACCCTCAATTAAAAAATAGAAATGTAAAACTTTAGAGCCTATGAGTCCACTTGGTCCTACTTCTTGTTCAGACAATCTCTCAGTCAAGTTTGGCTACAGTTTGCAGGAGATAATGCTGCCTGTTTCTTGTTTACAATGTCACTTGAAAGTGAGAAGAGACATTTGCAGTGCACGGTTGTAGCTGGCATTGCAACTGACAAGATATTTACGTACCTGATGTATTAAAGATTCATGTTCCTTTTATGCTTCAATCCCCATTCCAGAGAACATATGTCCATGCTGATGACAGGTTGTGCTTGGTGACAATCCAAAGCAGAGTGGACCGATGCATGTTCATTTTTAT